GGAAAGAGAATGAGTGGAAACCACTGAAGGGTTAGCAGCTCACGATTCTAAAAATGATCAGGTCATAAATGTACAAGCCCAGTAAAACCATCTGCACACTTTTCCCAGTCAGTCATTGAAAGACTGACCTTGACGCTCTATGCCAAAGACATCTACGAGGTAGCTAACTGCTGTACTGTTCCCAGGTATGTACTAGTCTATTCATAATACCAAAACCTGGCTGCCTTTTCCATGACAAAATGTCTTAAGTTTGTATTTAGTTTCCCAATTCATATTTAACTATAAGGAATGAATGCTGTATCATGAAAACTAGATCTTTCGTAATAGGACTACTCTCAGTTCTGGACATTAAGAATAAAACAGCTAATACTGATTTTAGTGGGTATGTTGTGACTTAATTAACTGTTCATAACCTCGGTTTTAACTGTTCATAACCTCGGTTTTATGGATTTATAATGTTGGACTGTATCTTATTTTATACAATTTTTGTGTTTTATTGTGCTCTTCTCTGTCTGTGGTTTGTAATGGCCTATGGCTAAATACAATAAAATCTTCTCTCTCTCTCTTGAATAAAACAGCCTGTTGTGTAAGTGACATAGCAAGTTTCCCATCACAGCACAAACAAGAATTCAAAGAGTATTTAATTTGTGAAAGAGTATTTAACATGTGATTTTTAATTTTAAAAAATCTAGATACCAACTGTGTTCCACATAAGGCACGAAGCAGCAACCTAACCTGAGTGTTACTAGTGCAACTATTTAGGAAGAACTGCAGTTTGCAAAAGCTGGTAAAACACCCTTTTAAGTTTGGAGCCACTTGGGCAAAGTAAGAACTGGCTTCAACAGGATCCCCACTAAAATATAAGATCCATATAGGAACCCACCATGTTTCTATCAAAACGACAGGATGTGCACTGCATTTATTAATGCATTAAATTGCCTTCTATAATTATATTAGAGTTTATTTGACTTGTAGTCATTATCTATCTCTGTGAACCAAGTTGATTAAAATGGGACACACAATATACTCAAGTTAGCTACTCACCCCTCCCTCCCTCCATGCCTCAACCATCTCCTAGAACAGTGGGCAGCCAGCTGTGATGGATAGGTGGCTGTCCTGCCCTTCTTCAAGTCATGTGCCAATCCCTTGTCACTGAGTTTTCAATGCGCAGAGCCACAGCCACATCCCATCAGGAGGGAAAGAATGTCTGAATGCTGAGTGGAGAGGGAAAACTGGATTGTTCAGGGGAGAAAGAGACTAACTACTGAAGGGATCAATAGACTAGAAGTCTGACTCAGATAGGTCAGACTGGTTATTTGATGAAGGTTGCTGAGAAAAATTTTCATATGTGTGCGCGCGTGTGAGTGTGTGTGTGCTTGGAAGTCATGGCGACCTCTGGTGGGTATTGGGAGCCTGGAGGATATTCAGAGAGGTGGCCGAATAAAGCCTGCACCTGCCTCCCGATTGCTGGTATTCCAAGGAGGTCTCCCATCCAAGTACTTGCCAGAGTCGACCTTGATTTGCTTCCGAGATCTGACGGGATAGGGCTTGCCTGGCCTATCCAGGCCAGGGCGAGAAAAACTGGTCTTCATCCAGAGTGAGTCTATCTTCTGAAGGAAGTAGACTGGAGATACCTGGATTGCTGTGACTCCAGGGTCTGGCTGATTTGAACGATTTCTAAAGTTGGGGTTGCTGTACATTGGCAGACTGATACATTGTCAATCTGGGTTGAAAGTGCATTCATCCTCTGAAGGGAGCTGGATTAGCTTGTATTCCCCCTCCCCCCATAACACTAACACTCTGAAGTAGAAAAGGTTTGCCTCAGCAGAAATCTGTAAAGCTGCACTGTTGCTGTAGCCTCTAAACATCAGGAACTGTTAAACATAGGTGTTAAACCATGCTAAAGAAGTAAATAAACAATTCTGTTTATTTCTTCTGTAATCCTGCCTCCCATGCCTCAGTCACATTTACAAATAATTCAGCTATCTTCACAATAATGAATTCAGATTAATCTAGCTACTGAAATAAAGACTGGGTCATGTTAGTTTAAACCAAACAATTTCGGTCGTGAGTAACCCCAAAGAGATGAACTGTATATGTAGGCTATAACCACAACTCAATTCACTGGTACATTTCTGAGTCAATAGGGATAAAATCAGGCTGCACGTGCATGATTTTCAGGCAGTCATTTTATTAGTGGCAGTCCCATCTGATCTACCAGTTCAGATGCAGAGTGACTTTGGAGTAAGTTCCAGTCTCTGTTTCCATCAGTCATCGATCCCTCTAACCTCACAAAGTTATGGTAAGATTGAAAGGGGGGGGGGGGAATCTAACATACATGCTGTGAACAAAAACTGTCCCAACCAGTATGCATTTCAAACCAATGCAAAAATTTCATCTTGCACAGTGTACCATTCTCTAGGGATTACTGAAGTAAACTATCCTGCAAACTCAGGTTTCACAGAAGGATACAATGGATTAGGAATTCCAAGTATTAATCTAAAACACATTTAGAAGCTTTGCAGATACTGCAGTAGCTCAAAAACAAAAAGAAGGCTTTCTAATTGAACAGGAAAAACACTTTACCATAAAACTGGAAATATGGCATGCAATGCAGTTGAATGTAATCGGTTTATTCTTTAAATGGAAGTGTGTCATTTTAATAGTAAGGCTCATTAAAATCTGACAAGTTTACTTTTTATGCTATTCATAGCTGAAAAAGTTGCCTGGCAAATTTTTCACTGTATTAAAGATCCATTTGCCACCCAAGTTTTTGAATCACAATTTGAACATGTCTACAAATCAAAGTTAAATTAAGCACACATGTTTTTCAAATGGAAAACTATTAACCAGCATCGCCAAATTATGGCAGCTGACTGTCCGACGAGTTACCTGCAAATCAAAACCAAGTAGCCCCCTGAAAAACGACAGTTTTAAACAGGTGTGTGGCTTTTACTGAACTGCCGTTCAGACCAAAAGCACTGCCATACACTACAGACCAGAGAGACCAGGTGGATCACTAGGAGAATATTCTTACCTTGTTACAGTGAAACCCCACACAGTTACATCCTTCTCATTCCATTGACTTCCACAGACCAAGATGGGTGCAACCTGCCTTCCTGTGGCACCTGATAAGCTTGCGGCCGCCACTGCTGCTCCTTACCCTCCTCCACCCTCTCCTCATTCAGAGATAGGCAGGCAAAAGTCAGGCAGTAATGGCTGCCTGCCACCACTGTTGCCAATGGCTCCTGCGGCAGAGCAGTAACAAAGGCAGAGGAGCAAGTGAGCAGCAGCTGCCTGCTCCTCTTTGGTAACGGCGGCTGCTCCTATTGCTTGGTGGCTTGCTAATGGCTTGCTCGTCCAGCTGCCCCAAGAAGGGGAGGCGTTTCTGCCACTGCCAAAGGCAGTGGAGCAGAGCGGCACATTCAAAGGTTGGGGCCCAATCCTGTTTGCCCTCTGGGGAAACTGGGCCTCCTCTGAGAAGCAGAGGCAAGCTGCAGCTGCCAAGAAAGGAAGTGCTCTCCTTGCACTCTTCCTCCTCAGTTGAATGAAGGGGGGGAGGACAGCTTGACCTCATGCACACTAGAGGAGGGGCACCAATCATGCAGTTGCCCTCCAACAAAAAGCCAGGGGGCAGCACGTGCTCCTCAAGGACTGCCTGACACTGGATGCCAGCCCTTGCAATTCGAATTGTTTTTATTTAACAAAAAACTGAAAAAAAGTTCAGACGTATTTTAAAAAGAACTGTAAAAGAACCCAGTATTTACCTTTAGGGGGGAAATAGGATTTGCTTTCTGCTTTGTGAGGCCAGTCAACCACCAGAGGTCCAAATCGTCTGAAGCTAGCAGTAATTTCATCTGGGGAAAAATTGCATGATGACTGCATTAGGCTGGCATGTCTTTTTTTTTACTGCTTTTCAAAGTTAGCTGTAAACATTTTAAAAATGTTTTCTTGAAGTACATAAAATCAATTTAAAGGAACACTGGAAAAAGGGGAAGCTAGTAATTAACATCTACTTTTTAAAGTGTTAAAACCAAAATTGTTATGGATTCACAGAACTGATTTTCTTCTTGCAAATGACAAATTGAATTGGCTGTGGACAACATAGAGGATGTCTTTTGGTCTGTTTTTAAAAAAAATCATACATGAATAATTTAGTAATTTTTATCTGTCTTTTTTCCAACATCAGTCATGTTTCGAAAACTAAATATTCATACACAAACACATAGAACTCAAAATCTTGTATATGAATTTGAGAATCCAGAGTAAAGAACAGCCTAATGAAAGTTAGCATCTACCTAAAATAGTTTTTGGAATCCAAGGTCAAATATCAAATGTGGAAGCTGGACAGTCTATAACTTGACCAAGTATTAATTCGTACCATAAAGTTTATTTTACAGAAATGGGGCCTTGAAAAAAATTCAACTATGGCAGTTAAATTAAAAGAAGCTAAGCTATATTAAATTTTACCAAAACTTGTGGTCTCGCTGTCCCAGCTTGGAAGGTGCTCTTAGGTGTCAATGTTCTGTAGTAAGAGTTATTGTTATTTTATCATTCATTTAGTAATTACTGTAATGATTTGTGGCTTCCCATTACCAGGAGTTAAAACCTTGCTGGGTGACCAATAAATTCAAGTGAATTGAATGCTGATAAGTTTAGCTGTGGATTTAGCAATCAAACATTGAGCACATTCTATAAGTTAGATTAACAGCAATTTCTATTGTTGTTTTCAGACAATTTTCATTTTGGTTCTTCTTATTTGTGTTCAACAAAATGAACAATTGTTGCTGAGACACAGCAGCCTCCTGGGCACCTTAATGGCTCAGAAGTGGGCCCACTGCATCAAACTGTCCACCCCATCCCCCAAGTGGGGTATGAGAAAACGGTCTGAGTGTTGGGAATTGTATTCTGTTCTCATACAACACATATTGCAATATCATGTTAATGCTGTTGTTTTTCCTGTTCTCATGGGATCTTTGGGAGAAAATTATAACAAATGGTTTTCAAATTTAGCTGAAAAGCAACTCACCTTCATCAATGTCTGGTGGAAGACCACCAACAAACACTTTTCGAGAGAAGCGTTCTATTCGTTCTCCATTTTGATGAGCAGAATAGCATGTAGGTGAATTCAACACACCAACTTGATCAGTATGACCATCATCCAGCAACCCATCATCTATTGGGAAGAGTGAAGAACGACCTTAAAACAGAGAGAGAGAGAGAGAGAGGAAGAGGAGAGTTTTACAAATTGCTGTAGTACATAAGAATGGGTTCAGTTCAGTCCTCAATTCAAATCTCACCTGAACTCACTAGGTAGCCTGAGGCAAGCCATCATCGCAGTCTCAGCCTACCCATCTGTAATATGAGGACAGTAATTCTGACCTACCACACAGAACTGTTGTAAGGATTACTGATATTATATATGCGAAACACCCTGAACATCTAAATACCTGGCAAATGTTAATACTTCAACACAAATAAAAAGCAATATGGAGAAAGAAATTAGGCATAGTGAAAAATGGCCAGTTCATTAATTTTAATGCAATATATTTCAAAACTATGGTACTGGAGGGTCACTAAATGATACAACTGTAGTTTAATACATGCATGCTGTTTTGCAAAAGGAAAATATATACTGAGGAAGCAGACACAATACAAATCATATTTAATACTGGTTCTATAGACTAAAGAAAGTTTTTTAAAAATGATACATAGTAAAATGCCCTAAAAGGTTAATGCATAAGTAGATTCATGTCAGGGGGCTGTGGTGGCTCAAGTGGTTAAGACACTGAACTGCAGACTGGAAGGTCGGTAGTTCAGCAGTTCGAGACTCGAGTGCTGCGTGGCGGAGTGAGCTCCCGTCTCTGGCCCCAGCTCCTGCCAACCTAGCAGTTCAAAAGCAAGAAATTGCAAGTAGATAAATAGGTACCACTTCGGTGGGAAGGTAACAGTGTTCCGTGCGCCTCGGCATCTAGTCATGCCAGCCACATGACCACGAAAATGTTTTTGGACAGCGCTGGCTCTTCGGCTTGGAAACAGAGATGAGCACCGCATCCCTACAGTCGGATCTGACTGGCTTTCGAGCAAGGGAAACCTTTACCTTTACCTAGATTCATGCCATTTCCTCTGTCATCTCTCTGCCTATAAACCATGAGAAATTCACAGACCTGTCTGAATCCTCCCCAAAGTTCTATGGATGTAGAGAATAAGAAAAGAACAAGAAGGCACAGATGTCTAGGAGACTGGTTCAGAGTTAACTGAGACGGAAATGTTTTACAGTTGATCTTGCTACCCTGGCAAGGTGTTCTTGATGAAAAACCAATTTTAGCTCAGTGAAAGGTACAAAGGCACCCAATAAGTGTTTTTGAAGCTAAGCAGGACTGGTCAGCGACTGAATAAGACACTGCCTGAGAGTCCCATGTACACTATGGGCCACGGCCTTTCCGAAGGGGAGAATGCATGCAAACATATAAGAATGCATGTAAAAGTATTAAGGAGCTTTTAGAAACACAATTTAACATAATGCTTTATAAATATTTAAACAGCAAAGGCAAAATGAAAGACTTGATGAACTTCAGTCATTATTGAGCCATGTTGTCAGGAGGCCCCTTCCAAAACTATGCAGGCTACCTCCTTATGCAGTGGTAGCAGAAAAAAATACACTACTGCACTAATGGGGGGACCCCCCCCAAAGATTTAGAGTAAAGGAATGGAGAAATTCGAATACACCACAATGGAGAACCTCAGCAAAGCTAAGATAGATCAACATGGACACCATCTCCATAGAAAAGGGGAAATAATTCATCTAATAAGTTGCTGGCTTCCAAACCCAAAGGCCCAGTTTCCACATCAACACTGTAGGCAAGAAAGGACGCTGTTGTTGTTCAGTCGCACAGTCGAGTCCGACTCTTCGCGACCCCATGGACAATCTCCCGCCAGGCTCTCCTGTCTTCCGCCGTCCTCCGAAGTTGACTCAATTTCATGTTCGTTGCATCGATGACACTGTCTAACCATCTCATCCTTTGCCGTCCCCGTCTTCTTTGACCTTCAATCTTTCCCAGCATCAGGGTCTTTTCAAGTGAGTACTCCCTTCTAATTTGGTGGCCAAAGTATTTGAGCTTCAGTTTCATTATCTGGCCTTCCAGGGAACAGTCAGGGTTGATTTCTTTGAGGACTGACTGATTTGTTCTTCTTGCAGTCCAAGGGACTCTCAAGAGTCTTCTCCAGCACCATAGTTCAAAAGAATCTATTCTTCGGCGCTCGGCCTTCCTTATAGTCCAACTCTCACAGCCATACATGACTACTGGGAATACCATTGCTTTGACCATGCGGACTTTTGTTGGCAGGGTGATGTCTCTACTTTTTATCATGCTGTTTAGGTTCGCCATCGCTTTCCTCCCAAGGAGCAGGCGTCTTTTAATTTCATGGCTGCAGTCACAGTCTGCGGTGATCTGGGATCCCAGGAACGTGAAGTCTGTCACTACTTCCACGACTTCCCCTTCTATTTGCCAAGGAGTGATGGGGCCGGATGCCATGATCTTAGTTTTTTTGATGTTGAGCTTCAAGCCCACTTTTGCGCTCTCCTCTTTTACTCTGAGCAAGAGGCTCTTTAGATCCTCTTCACTTTCAGCCATTAGAGTGGTATCATCTGCATATCTGAGGTTGTTGATCTTTTCCCCAGCAATCTTAATTCCCGCTTGTGATTCATCCAGGCCAGCATTTCGCATGATGTACTCTGCATATATATTAAATAAGCAAGGCGACAATATACATCCTTGTCGTACTCCTTTTCCTATGCTGAACCAATCAGTTGTTCCATATCCGGTTCTAACTGTCGCTTCTTGGCCCTTATACAGGTTTCTCAAGAGACATGTGAGGTGGTCTGGTACTCCCATCTCTTTAAGGACCTGCCATAGTTTGTTGTGATCCACACAGTCAAAAGCTTTAGCATAGTCAATGAAGCAGAAGTAGATATTTTTCTGGTACTCTCTTGCTTTCTCCATAATCCAGCGAATGTTGGCAATTTGATCTCTAGTTCCTCTACCTCTTCGAAACCCAGCTTGTACTTCTGGTAGTTCTCTATCCACGTACTGTTGAAGCCTAGCTTGTAGGATCTTGAGCATGACCTTGCTAGCGTGTGATATGAGTGCAATTGTGCGATAGTTTGAACATTCCTTGGCATTGCCCTTCTTTGGGATTGGAATGTATACTGATCTTTTCCAATCCTGTGGCCACTGTTGCGTTTTCCAAATTTGCTGGCAAATGGAGTGCAGCACTTTAACAGCATCATCTTCTAAGACTTTGAATAGCTCAGCTGGAATACCATCACCTCCACTAGCTTTGTTGTTAGCAATGCTTTCTAAGGCCCATTTAACTTCACATTCCAGGATGTCTGGCTCGAGGTCAGTGATTATACCGTCGTGGTTGTCAAGGACATCGAGGTCTTTCTTGTATAGTTCTTCTGTGTATTCTTGCCATCTTTTCCTAATCTCTTCTGCTTCTGTTAGGTCCCTACCGTTTTTGTCCTTTATCATGGCCAGCTTTGCATGGAACGCTCCCTTGATTTCTCCAACTTTCTTGAAGAGATCTCTAGTCCTTCCCATTCTATTGTTTTCTTCTATTACTTTGCACTGTTCATTCAGGAAGGCCTCCTTATCTCTCCTTGCTGTTCTCTGGAAATCTGCGTTCAGTTGGGTAAATCTTTCCTTTTCGCCTTTGCCTTTCGCTTTCCTTCTTTCCTCTGCTATTTGTAAAGCCTCATCAGAAAGCCACTTTGCTTTCTTACATTTCTTTTTCTTTGGGATGGTGGTGATTGCTGCCTCCTGTACGATGTCACGAACCTCTGTCCATAGTTCTTCAGGCACTCTATCTATCAAATCCAGACCCTTGAATCTATTCTTCACCTCTACTGTATATTCATCAGGGATGCGATCTAGGTCAAACCTGAATGGCCTCGTGGTTTTCCCAATTTTCTTCAGTTTAAGTCTGAATTTTGCAATGAGTAGCTCATGATCTGAACCACAGTCAGCTCCAGGTCTTGTTTTTACTGACTGGATAGAGCTTCTCCATCTTTGACTGCAAATTATATAGTCAATCTGATTTCGGTGTTGCCCATCTGGTGATGTCCATGTGTAGAGTCGCCTCTTAGGTTGTTGGAAAAGGGTGTTCGCTATGACCAGTGTGTTCTCTTGACAAAACTCTGTTAACCTTTGCCCTGCTTCATTTTGCTTTCCAAGGCCAAACTTGTCTGTTATTCCAGTTACCTTTTGACTTCCTACTTTAGCATTCCAGTCCCCTATGATGATGAGGACATCATTTTTTGGTGTTAGTTCTAGGAGGTGTTGTAGGTCTTCATAGAACCGGTCCACTTCAGCCTCTTCTGCATCAGTGGTTGGGGCATAGACTTGGATTACTGTGATGTTGAATGGTTTGCCTTGGAATCGGACAGAAATCATTCTGTCATTTTTGAGATTGTATCCCAGTACTGCCTTTTGCACTCTCTTGTTGACTATAAAGGCCACACCATTTTTTCTACGAGATTCCTGGCCACAGTAGTAGATATAATGGTCTTCTGAGTTAAATTCGCCCATTCCTGTCCACTTTAGTTCACTGATTCCTAGGATATCGATGTTCAGTCTTGCCATCTCATTTTTGACCACGTCAAGCTTACCTTGATTCATAGATCTTACATTCCAGGTTCCTATGTAGTATTGTTCTTTGCAGCATTGGACTTTCCTTTCACCATCAGACACATCCACAACTGAGCGTCCTTTCGGCTTTGGCCCAGCCGCTTCACTCTTTCTGGGGTTACTTGTACTTGTCCTCTGCTCTTCCTCAGTAGCATATTGGACACCTTCCGACCTGAGGGGCTCATCTTCCGGCGTCATATCTTTTAGCCTTTTGATACTGTCCATGGGGTTTTCTTGGCAAAAATACTGGAGTGGGTTGCCATTTCCTTCTCCAGGTGGATCACGCTTGGTCTGAGTTCTCTGCTGTGGCCTGTCCGTCTTGGGTGGCCCTTCACGGCATAGCCCACAGCTTCATTGAACTGCGCAAGCCCCCTCGCCACGACAAGGCTGTAGGTTACCAGCAACTTAAACTGGACCCAGAAATAGGCAGCCAGTGAAGGGACCTCAGGTATGTCCCTAGACCCAGAAAAAGTAGGCACTGAAAAGACTTTAAGGTATTTCCTATCCTCTT